CTTAATGAAACTGTAATAAACATGACTGAAGAAAATCTTGTCACTAATTCAGAAAATGGTATTGAACCAAAGACAGAACTTTAAATAATTCATAAAAAACTCTTGGTATTTCTTTTTTTTTGAACTAATTGTTTATTAAAGTTAAATTATAAAAAAACAAAATCTAAATAACAATTTTAAAAAGAAATATTAATAAAAAGAAAAACATCTTAAAAACAAACTTAAAAACAAAGAAGAAATGAGTGAAAAGCCTAACAGATTTAGCTTTAAAGGAAAGAGATTAAGCTTCCACGAAAAGAAAAAAGAAGGCATAGAAAATGAGAGGAGGTCACAAACTGTGATAATGAAAATTGATGAAACAAAAGAAGAAAAACAAGTAGGAATGAAAGAAATGAGTAAGTCACACAAAAAGAAAGAAAAAGAAGTTAATGACCAACTCCCCTCTAAAGCCAAAGAAAGAGTATCAAGAAGTAGTATATATAGAAAAAGCCTTGACTTAGAAAGAAAAAAAGAAGACGTTATTCGTATACAACAGCCTCAACCATCTCGTGACTGTTCACCACTTATGAGGCAAAATTCTACACCAGTAACTTCTATGAAAGCTTCATCAAATTTAGTAGTTACTGTTCCTAAAAGGAAGGAATCATTATATAAGAATAGAAGAATGTCTTGGAGGTCAAAGAATTTAAGTGAAGAAAAACGAGATATTTCATTAGTTGCAATGGACGAATATTCACCAAATGTTTTATCAGATAAAGAATTAAAGGATATATTAAAAAATGAAGAGAAAAGACAAAAATTAATAAGTTCAAGTGACTCAAAGAAAAAATGTGAAATTGTATTAGACATTCAGTGTTTAAGTTATCATGTAGTAACTACTCTCAAAGTTTGTATTATTAATATCATCATTTTTATATAAAAATAAAAAAGGCTGTTAATAAATAGGAACATTTACAAAATACAATTTCTCAAATTACTGAAAAGTATCTTAAAACAAACACAAAGGAAATTGTTAATATTTCTGATTTAATATTTAAAAGCCAAACAGGAAAGCCTCTGTCAAAAAACCTAACACTGAGAGGAGTATTAACATTAAATAGTACATGTATATTTGTTTGTTACAATAATAGACCATTTTCATTACCTCATATTTATCCCACTGATATCAGTATTACTAATCCTCGAGATGCCATTCCTCAAGTTGTATTTAATCTATGTTGGTGGATTTATACCTATGGTTATTTAGTTGAAGGAATTTTTAGAGTTTCTGGAAATAGTGATTTCACAAAGAAAAAAGCAGAAAAATGTGTTATGTGTGATACTTCTTTTCTATTTCAAATGCATAGAAGAGCAAGTGATGTTCATAATGTTGTAGGGACATTAAAAACATACTTAAGAGAATATACAGATGGATTAATAGATTATTCTGAGGTAAAAGATGTTTCAGCTCATTCATCAAAGTCAGTGGAATTCGCAATTGAGGTTTTACATAAAACACCTAGAGAACATGTCTTATGCATTTGTATATTATATGGATTAATCAATAGACTAATCAAATATAATTCTATTCATATGATGACATTAAAGAATTTTGCAATAATTTTAGGACCATTGGTTATACACCCATTACCAGGAACAAATGCAGTGAACACAACGTGCAATCAAATTGACTTTAGTAGTATAATTATTAATAATTATGATTGTTTAATGAAGCAATTGGGGGTGTCTAATCCATTTGAAGAGTTGCCTGATCGAGATGATATTCAAAAATTTGATAAAAGTGCTGTTGATAAATCTCTTAAAACCATTCGTTCTATGTCAATAGAAACACCTTCTGAGTGTGAAAAATTACGAAAATTGATGGAAAGCCCTGATGTTGTTCAATACATTCAAACTTTAGATCCGTCTTTGCTGATTGATGTAATATCAATCATCACCGATTGTTTGGATTTTTAATTGTAGTGTAATTGTTGTCAATAAAAATTCTTTTAAAAAACTGTTTTACACTTTTATTTTCAATGAACGATACAAGTAGTTGGTTCTTTTATAAAAAGCAAATTGTTTAAGTATAGAGTATGTCAAAAATAAAAAAATAAATAATTGAAAGTGTTAATATAATTGTCATTTATTCATTGATTAATGAATATTATTCATATCATAAATACACTGTTAAAATGAGTAATTCATTTGTTTGATTTATTATTTAATTATTTTCTTTTGTTTTGTGGATAATTCTTTTTATTTTATTTCTTTTATTGTCTTTTCTTTCTTCTTTCCATTTATTATTTGTTTTTTAGTTTATTTTTAATGAATATCATCTTTATTTC